CATACTATGAGAGCCGTCAGAGATGGTAATGTTTAGTCCCAATTGTGACACTTTTTTTCTCTGTTATACTGTTAGGCTTTAAATGAGTCTAAAATATTATGAGTTCCTGCAGTGAGTAATATAAAATCTGATTTTATTTATTTTTTTCACAAAATAACCTACAAATAAATACACTTAATATAAAAAATATAAACTTATTACTGTATACATAAATAAAGAACTACAGTATATATAATTATAAGACAGTCATTATTTACATTTATTATATAATATTTTAAATTTTAAACTAAAGAATATTTTCTTTTTATTTTTAAACAAACTATAAAATCATTTAATATTTATTAGATTAAGTTTAGATTTTTTCAAAAAATTCAAAACACGATCAGCACAGCAGTAAATATTTTGACTTTTGATTATCAGATTACATAAAAAACGGATTAAATGTCTTTTATATTTTTTTATTGTTGTTATAAATATGTTTAATAACATTTAGCTAATTATAACTATAGTTAGTCTCTAGATGTGTGTTTCAATTGCTTTATCACTATTATTAACATCAGTAAAATTTTCAAAACATTAATAATTGAATCTTTATAATCAAAAAAATCAAAATACAATTTATGTTTTGTTAATGTTTTGATATGTTATTGTCGTTATTTGATTCAATGTTAAGATTAATGTCTCCGTCAAACAACAATGTCTCAGATAATTAAGATAATGATTGTTGTTTTAAAAAAGAGTTGCAAATAGCAATTGTTTGACAGATAGAGGACTGGGATGACTGGGTTGGTGTTGACTATCAGTGCCACACAATATAAATAAAGAATATGAGAAAATAAGCAAAAAGATAGAGAAAATGTCACTTAAGGATATATAGTACAGTATATACAGCAGACATATAATATAAAGATAAGTATCGAAACAACACTAATACAGATTTTCCCATCACTACTACTACAACACACATACATCACAACTATCCCAACATTTACTCACTTTTCATATATAAAAATACATTAAAAACATTTGTAACGATTTTGAGTATATTTCTCTTTTTATAATAAAAATAAGTCTTTCGCAAAATATCTCTTTTTTGTATTTAAAATGAGAGTAAATTTAATTTAAAATAAAATTCAGGTATAATTTTTCATTTAATTTTTTTGTTTTATAAAATTCATATAAAATTCATATGAGTCCCATAGAGAAAAGTTTATAACATATGAGATGATTATCGGATATTATTTTATTTTGTTTTGTTTGATCTCAAATGTCATTTAAATGGGTGTTACAGTTAATAAACGTTGATTTGATTAACTGCTTATTTCACAGACACGACGCATATAATAACAATGATGTGTGTGTGAGGAGTGAATTGTAGTATAGGTTTGGCAATTAACTTGACTACACCCCTGTGCTGTCACAACATAGACATGTATCTCATGTTGTTATTAATGTTGTGAAAAAATTTTGCTTTTAATATAAACAGTTCATAAACTCATTTAAGAGGACAACATGTCTCAGCACAAGAAAAGACCGAGAGATAGGAGGTCTTTAATGGGCGTTGTTTTGGACGCAAATTGGACGTCAATGTTGTATACGATATGCCTTACCTAATGGGGACACATATTATCAGAGAGACATTTTGACTATAAATATATAGATTCATGTTTTCGTAATCAATATATTCAGAACATACTGTAGTACTGTATGTATACATTACAAACATAATGTATATTATATATACAGTATATATGATATACATTATAAGTGATGCACAGGTTTTTAGCTTTTAAAACACAAGAGCACGTAAAGTGCATTTTCTGTCACCTTATCTGGACAGTCATCTGTAGACTAACTCATAATCCTTGAGGGCGTTTGTGGTGCACACACACACACACACACACACACACAGTCAGCCAACAAATACAACTGTCTTATACAGATTGTATGCGACGGGAGTGTTATGTTAGTCACTGGCGACGGAATCGCAATAATTTTGTTTTGGAGTCTTATTTCTTATTTTTGGAGACATTCATAAAAACGGGCCAAAAATTGCACTACACTTCGATGATATAAAAATAGATTTTTTAAAACTTTATTTTTAAAACCAACTTTTTCTGATCTAATCTTATATTTGTATGTATAATGTACAGTATATGCACTAACTTTGTACTGTATATAAAATATACAGATTATATACCGTATATAAAATAGTGAAAACAAAAATTAATTTGTTGTTTACTATGTTTCGAGTCATTTTCATTCAATTAAAATTATGTCTCTTTCTCAACATATGTATTATACTGTATGTACATTATATATAGTTTATAATTTCATAAAAATGTATAAACAAATAATTGTGGGAATCTTTAGATAAAATTAATATTTTATTTGATGACATCAAAAGATGAATAATGTTTTTAATATTATTAAAACTGTGTTTTTCTCTAAATTAGATATTATTTATGGCATTAATTGGAAATATATACATATTTCCCAAAAAAAATCCTAAATATAATGATTGATAATTTCTTGCATAATAAAAATTTTCTTAATAATTATTTATTTATAACAAATCTAAAAATTTATTAGTAAAACATTAATCATTTAAAAAATAACATATTATATGTTAAACTAAGTTAAGATAAGCATTAAAAACACTAAAAAATTTTAGTTACATAAAACTACTATTTTACAAATTGGTTTTCAATTTGATTATTAGGAGTCTAATAATCTTTTTTCTTAAATTATTATAAAAAATTAAATACTAATATGGTATATAGATTTTATTATTATTGATAATGTATTTTTCAGATATTAAGTATTAAAATATGTTAATATGTTAATATTAATTACATTTGCCGTATCAGATGAATCATATGTACATTTATATAATAGATTGAGTCGATTGACAATAAGATAAAATCTAAGAGTAACACACAATTTAAATAAATATATTATACAGTATATATTGTATACATTCAGTATATAGTATCTAAATATATACTTTATACAGGTATACATAGAGAGTATAATAGTTTAATTAATCACTAGTAAACCTATGCATAACCTAAATCTCTTAAAACAAATAAATAAAAAAAAACATTTGAAATAATCTCTTAAAATCTTATTATTAATTGCTTTGCAGCAAAAAAATTATCAAATGATATGAGATATTATAAGTTTGTAATACAAACAAAAATACAGATATGATTGATGTTCACATCTCTGACTTGCAATTCATACATAGATTATACTTACATAAGACAGGGGTTTCAATATAAATGTGATGTTTGTGTATGTATTTGCTGTTGATTTTTGAATAATACAGTGTTGTTGTGGGCTTTACTGGTCTCCAATCGAGTTTGTATTTTAGATGCCTTTTCTCAAGTGGTGCCCAACGGGGGGTATATTCCCAGCCGAGTCATACACGATGAACATGGGGTCACTTGGGCTACAATGCAGAGGTCACGATCACCTACAATGCCATTCGCTTCGGTATCTAATCCTCATTGACAGACAACACCGATATATTTATGCAACTCTTATGTAAAGACATCTTACCATTTATTTATACATAAATACACAACTTATTTAACATATACTTAATTCTTAATTCAAACGTTTTGTTTTTCTCCCCACAAAACAATTGCATTATTATATCAATCTTTTTAAATTTTCTTTCAAAAAATATTGTACCTGTATTTTCTTTCTAAATTTATAACATTTGTTTAAGATTTTATAAATATAAAAACAAGAGAGAGAGAGAGAGAGAGAAGTTGTGTCTAACCATTGAATCTCTTAAATATATTATTTAATTATCCTTTTTTACAATTACTTCAGTCAAACAATTTATTTGATTATAGAAGCAAAAAACAACATCAAAAATAGTTATTATACCATAAAAACGATTATTCAGCTATTTTTAAAAGTATATATCATATATCAATATAAGTTTATATATTAGCTGAATAACTATTTACATAAAATAAAGTATTAGTAAAACCAATTAAATTTGATACATGTTGTGATCATCTGTAATGTGTTTATAAAAATGTCACAAACGGATAGTTTGTAATAAAACATGACTTTTATTTGCAAAAAAAGATATGTCACATAAAATAAAATTATTAATATAATATAATTCTAACAAATTTTACCGTCTTTTTAAAAAAGTTTACATTTATATAAGATATATTCAATTTATCTGTTGACAAAATGTATGATATATTATACTGAATTTTATGTGTAATAATAATTACTATTATTGATAAACAGTGTGTATTTACTGTAAAATATAATACAGTATAACTTATATTATTTATAATAATTATAATAACAGTAAGAGCATCTGTTTATTATCACTTTATAGTTACATATCATTACTAAAAAAATGTTTGCATTTGCTTTCAAATTATTTACAATATTTTCTACATATAGTTATAAGTTTATAGTGTAATGTATAACATATTATTTTAGTTAGCATAATGATTGTGAACAACAAATATTATAGGCTTTTTATTAGCCATAATATTGAGCCAAACATAGACATCCAGAATCACATTAAAACATGAATTACTCTTATATTTGACAAACAGATGTCTATATTTTGGTGATATTGCGGTCCAATGTATTGGTGTCTGCATTAGTACATTAATAGGCCATTTGGTGTGCTTTAAGAATATACAAAATATATAAAGAAAGATAGATTGACTGACAGTCAGAAAGATAGATAAATAAACAAATAGATAGAAGAGAGAGAGAGAGAGAGAGAGAGAGAKAGAGAGAGAGAAAAGAGAGAGATAGAGAAAGAAAGAGAGATTAACTTAGTGTATGTGCACTCAAGAGTAGGACTTTAATTGACAGATATATTCAATAATGTTTACATCACTATCTTGTATTGCAATCGCAGACAAACTATAATTTATTTACACAAACAGTCAGTCTTTTTAAAAGAGATGAATCAGCAGAAGAGTGTTTTTCATTGTGAATCCATTGCTGATAATGTGGTCCTACTTATGATTAGTTGTATTATTACTATTGTTGTCTTGTGTTTGATGAAGAACTCCAGAACCAATTGAATTGGTAAACAAGTGGTCACCACTTTCTGATAAATTTCTGTTTGCATTCATCCTAAAGTCGTTGGCATAAACTGTAATTAATAATATATTTTAAAACTTCGTTTCTTCAATATTTATATTTGTATTAAATTTGTTTGTTAGATAACCGATAAATTGATTTAATAGCTATCAACAATATTGGTCATATCATATCAATAAAAATAACAAAGTTTTCAATAAATATATAATCGAGAAAATATTAATAAAATTTGTAAATATTGTTTGACTAGTATTTAAATTATATACTATTAAAATAGCTTATATTACTGTAAAAATAAAATGATTTAATTATTTAAAACATTATTAAGCACACAGTTTATATGTTATAGAAGATTAATGACTGACTATTGTTTGAATTATATATTTTAATCATAAGAATTAAATATTTATGTAAAAGTGATTTAAATGGCTTTTTATATTTTATGGTATTTGATCAATGCTTAGGAAAAAAGCGCATAAAAGCAATTAGTTTTGTATGCAATTGTTATGTAAAATGCATTTGAAAAGTGTATCTAAATGTGAAAACAACTGCAAATTGAATTGAAATCGATTGAGAAGTGAGTTGTAATTTCTAATGGTTTGTTTGAAAAGGCGGTTATTATTATTATTAGAACCCATAATATATTTGCTATTTATATAATTAGGTCTGCATTTGAGATCTCAGAAACACTTAGAGATATGACTCAGAGTATCTCCTCCTACATCAAAATGGTCTAACATTTGATACACCAATTTATGGTTAATATAATATTAGATTCAATATGAAATCATAACCATTATAAAATATAAGCCATACATTTAGCACAGTTAGTCTTTTTTATGTCTAATGACAACCAAAACAGAGAGTCATAACATTGTCAAAACATAGCCATACCATGACGTGCATCCAATTTGGGGCAATGTATATGACAAGGACTGGGCTTTGGCTATAGATTGGTATCTCATTTGACAATCTCTTGCATGCATTCAGTAATTGCTTGACTACTACTAAAATTTTACTTCAATAATCGTAACTGACTATCATTTTTGTTGTCTCTCTCTCTCTCTCTCTCTCTCTCTCTCTCTCTAGAAAAGCCTAATAATTGTATTGAATGCATGCAATGGTTGCTATGCTATCAGTTATTTTGTTTTAAGTTATGCTTTTCTGTCCAAACATACATAACTGTGTAGTATTAGGCATAAAATTAATAAATTATTGCCATATATTCTGGTCAGTCATATGTATCGGACATTTGTTTTTCTCGTTGCTTTGAGTACTAACAATGTCTTTCCTCTTTATTACCACCGATACAATTGTTACGATAGTTTCCAATGATAAGCAAAATTCACTACAATATAGACATAATGGTAGTCGTATTACAGTAGTATTATACAAATAGCATTGTCATTATACTATACTACTAGTAATTTTTATTATTTAAAGATATGCTGCATTAAAATGCTATTGCCGTGTGAGTATAAAATTAGAAAATTATATATATATTACAAATGATAACATAAACCCTATTAAATTACACATCAAATAATTATAATTTTATTATAATTCAGAAAAGAATAATTACTTAATTTTGATTACAATGTAAATGACATGAAAATTATAAAATAATTTCTAATTAACTTTATAGTGATTTGTAATTTATAGTCAATTAAAATTTGCGAACTGATTAATAACATTATAATTGTATTGTATAACTCAATACATGTTTCTATGATAATGCTATTTGTTATGTACTGATTTAAATGTAATGAGGTCTACATTTATCTAATATCATAGATATGTCAATTCAATATATAATATTAGATAACAATCCATTCAAAATTACTTTTATAATATATATATATATACAGTATATATGTTTGTTATTTTGTGGCAAACAATGCAATAACAAATAATCCGTTAGAAGAGTGTGACTGTACTCTTGAGTGTCATTTATCACTCGACATAATGAGTATCATTGGATATCATTGTATATCTTTGTATTATTTCTTATATATATATATAATAAATATAAATAATAACCACTTATTGAGTCAAAGTTGAGACATTTGTATAACAAGTATTCAAACAATTGATATATAGATTACAAAACACAGTCTATCACTGAAGTATACGGTTATATTAAATTGTATTTATAATGTTTTAACAAAAACTCTGCAAATAAGTCATAAGTTGTCAGGAATTCCAGTGATTATAAAAATAAAATCTTTTTATAAAACATTTTTATTTTATTTTATACATATAACTGATATATACTTTACTATTTAAGATTTTTTTAATGTAGAGAAAAACATTAACATTTTGATTCTGTTTCAAGATTAATAAAATTTATAATATTCATCAAATATACATATAAATGTGCAAAAAGTAAATTTTGTAAATTTCTAGTAAGTTTAGTTTTTTTTTAATTTAATTGAATCCCTGTGATTAGTATTCCTGTAATACTCTTTTATAAAATCTAACATTTTTAAAAATAACATTTAATATTTTACAATATACTGGAATACTATAATATAATACATTTATTTAAAGTCAAATTGAAATAAATTACCGAGAAATTTTCTAAAAATTTTCTTAGAATAATTTATTCGATATTTCTATTCACCCATCTATAAATATCATCAAGTTTTTTGCAATAAAAATAAAACACATTTAATCATTCATTGACCAAAAGTGTGGCTCAAAAACCTGAATGAAACCCTACAAAACACACACACATACTTACACACACACACACACACACACACACACAMACACAGCATCACATACTATGGGATAGTGATCTGTTGTTTGTATTACCAAAAACAAGATTTTTGTTTTTGTTATATTTGTATTATTTTGGTTTCTTTCTTAAATAATTTCAAATATAAAGTTAACATAAATTTATTTTACAGATTAGATAAAATGTACAGAATATTAATAATGCATTTTATTTGAAAAAATATTAAACATGTCTTTCATTCAAATTGAGAGCATTTCTCAATAAATGACAATCCATTAGATATTTGCATAAATGTTGGCAATGAGTCAACTAATACTTGTTTTTCTTAATCAATACATTAAAGTTATCTTATGTTAAATCTCAATATATGTTTTAATTGTTAAAAACTTGTTTTTATATTAATTGTGAGACTTTTTAACAACACAACATCTGTATTAAAAAATAATAAAAAGAAATCACTGTTTATTGAGTAAGCCTTTTAAACTGTAAGTTCATTAATGCATTAATTAAATATCACTTAATCCTAAATTTAATATTTAGAAAAACTTTTATATAGTTTATATTATATTATTTTTTAAATTTATAAATATATTTTACAGATATTTCTAATATTCGATGTATTAGTAAAATGGGAAAAAGTTGTCTAATGTATTATGATATCAGTTTAAGTATTTGATAAAATACCAATAAATGTTTTTTAAACAGTTTTAAACAAAAACATACATAATCTGTAAGATTCAGTGATATTATTATATAAAAAATAGATCGTTAGGAAATTGGATCGACTCGATTGTAAATGTATGAAATGGGTCTCAAAATTAATCAATTGAATGATTGAAAAAAGTGTTTACTTTGAGTTGAATGAGTTGGCGGTGAAGTATTGCCATTGTGTGCCACTTGTTCTCCTCTGTTGCCAAAAGTGATTAATTTTGGTGATTCAACAACAGCACAGTTCACCTGTTCATGAGCTCCCAGTGCCGCTGCCAGTGCACCACTTTCCGAGCTAAGTAATTGCATGGACGCTAATTTCAGTGCTGGCGGTGTATGGGGTGGTGTGTCTGCCTATGTATACATTTTTATATTAAAAAAAATATTTAATATCCTATCATATTGTAATAGTTATACCATTACTACTATTATCAACTTAGAGATAAATTTATAACAAGTTATGTATAGTATCACATTAAAAAAAATTCAATTAAAAATAAATATTCATAGTTTTTCTCTAATGTTTTTTATATGAGTTTGTATTTTATAAAATTTTTAAAATCTCTTAAATATATTTTTTAAAGATTGTGTGTGATATTAAAAAGATGTGTTATTTTTGATGATCAAAACAACACTTAATTAAGAGCTAAATGACTGTAAACAGCAATTTTTTGAGTTACAAAAAATAATATCAAATGAAATTTGGCTTATCTTATGAAAAATCATTTGCAAATTGCAACTCAATATTATTATGCTTTTAAACTTCTAATATCAGTTTAATTCAAAATCTTGTTATCGATTTTGTTTATTAATTAATAAAAAGCAATGATTTAAAAAAACAAATATTAGCAAAAATTTAATTAGGATTAACTTTGTGTTAAAATAAATATTGTATACATTTGAGTGATCATTAATTCTCACTAAAGACAACAAAAAAACTAGATTTTAAAATAATTTTTAAATACTATTTAACTATTAGCTAACATATTATATGCTGTTGTAACGTATAATTGATTTTTTTGAGATATACGAATCAATAAATTAAAATTTTTTAATTATAAAACCATAAAAAATTAGTTTAAGCGATCAATAACATAGATAAATGTATCGTTTATCTACCACTAATTTATGTGTACTGTGTTTGCAAACTATTAATGTGCATCACACAATACATTTATTTATTTATGATACGGCTATTGAAAAATATTAAAATAATTGAAAAGTAAAAACATTTCTATATTTATCTCGAAAAGACAATTATAAAATAATTAGCTTTTAAGACAAATTCCTGTAATGACAACAAGTTTAGTCCCAAAACTAGCATTTAAACAATTTATACATTTTTTGCTACATTTAAACAATTTAAGTGCTTTCAAGAGACATAATATAATAGCTGTAAGACAGTTGGGTTAGCAATAAATCATTAGTAAACTTAAGGAAACATCAATTTTCCAATGAAGTCATAAATGGATAACTAGTGACCACTAAACAAAAGGGTTTGTCTGACACACACATACCTGAGGAGGTAGTGAAGTAGCCGATGACTGATGTGTAAAGTGTCGTCCAAATGATGACATATAGTGAGTGCCGTATGGGCTGACTGTTGCTGTTGTGTAGGGGTTATGCGATTGATGGGCGTGTGTCGGATGACACCAACCGCTCATATTAGAGACCACAGGAGTAGCTGACAATGGGCTGGGGTTGGGGTGCAAATTAGCCGAGAGGTGCAGTGAAGGCGCGATATTCATATTAGAGCCGAGAGTAGGGCTCGTATGAGATAATGGACTCTTTGGCTTATCTTCAGTCGCTGTTTCAGCTAATGACCAGATTTTAGGCTTCGTTGCATTGTTTACTGAATTGCATTTATCCTATTATTTTAAACAATCACTTAATATATTAGTTCATGTATTGTATCCGTAAATGTAGTAATAGTTTTTAGTACTAAAAGTTTTGAATCTATATTTAAAACACATGCTTTATATATAATAAACACATAAATCAAAAGTTTGTCTCAAATGGTGACATTTGTGGCCATAAATATATCTTAATATTATGCTTATATAAATTATATATTTAAAAAAAAATTATTTTATTATTAATTTATATATATTATGTTCAGTACAAAGACGAGTGCTGTGTTTGAGTGGGTTCCCCGTGTAATGACTTTTTTTTATTAAATTTTACTGATATTTGTGTCAAACAGTTTATTTTAATGTTAAAATTAATTCATAAAATATTTCCTTTAAAAAATACATATAAATATAGATTTAAGATAATATTAAATTTTAATATAAAATTCTGAGTTTTTATGAGTAAAAACTGTATACTCGTATATAACTTTTTTTTTTAAATGTTTGAATTATATGTTAAGCATTTTTTCATTTATGTTATTTATAACTACAGTACAGTATATACTGTACTATAAAGTGTATGTATGTGTGTCTATGAATGCCTATTAAGACTTACATTAAAATTATGGTGAAGAATATCATGATTTGTCGGACAGGCTGTGAGTGTATTGATTGTAGTGTTCATTATCGGTGGGATCGCACAGTTGGCCACCTTTTGCATAGAATGGCCTCTTAAGGAACTCTCAGACATATCTAACAAACAAAATATTGAAAATATTTATAAATATTTTACTTTTAAGAAAATGTGATCAACTTTTGAGATAAGAAATCAATTGAAATTATGTAAACAATGCTTAAATTGAAAAGCTTTCAAATATTTGTCATATTTGTTGTAAAAACAATCCGCAAGTGTTTGCAGTTAATTGAATATAATTGAAAAGTTTAAATATGTAAACATATAAACTATAAGTGTTTTTATTTGTGAGAAAACTGAAAGTCAAGTATTAGTGAATAGTGAGAGATAGGGAGAGTCAGGTCAAAGGTTGCATTGGGTCGACTCCTAACTATTACTCATACAAAAGTAGTTAGTGTTAGTAGTGATCAAAATGTTAGTTTTGTTTAAATTTATTTGAAAAAACTAAGAGAGTGACGATCACTTGGGATGACTGTCTAAGTCTGGTAAATGGGTTCCCACGTGTTGTGTATGTTTGCTGTGGACTAACCAGTGGTGAACCTAAGCTAAGGGCTTATGTATAAAATATATATTTTAAGACAACACACACACGAGTATCACTAATTCAGTGCACACATTGCCTCTCAATGGGTGATTGAGATGAATTCCAGTGCTGGCACTGTATGTCAGTGTAAGACACGGCTGGATATCTCATTCAAAGTTCTGGTTGAGCCATGATTTTGCATCTGTAATGACCAACCAGTGCTATGACTGCCACTACTACAACACTAACGACTGCTGTATATTAAACTGATTGCCTGTTCTTTACTTTTATAACAAACTGTTCACTAATTTTTGTCTGACATTTGATTTGTCAAAAGGAAGTTCTCTAAAGAATGATATGACTGAAGAATTTACTTGATTTACACACTAAATGAATGGACCCATTGCTTAGCACAGGGCTTGCCATCACTCATGTATGGCTCGAGCCCTAGGGGTGCAAGACATCAGTACTATATATGAGCTCTATATCTAATAATAATTAAGGACAGGGCTATCAGGGACTCACTTTAATTATACTAAAGGATTCACTTATAATTTAACCAAATATTTAAGACCACCTCTTAATGGCCATTGAAATATTTGTGGCATTCAATCATTTAATAACTTTTTTGAAAAACATAAGTTTGTCTCCAATTGTTGTAATTACAATACTATCAAAATATTGTAATTAATACTAACATAACATACACTCTGACTGACACCCAAAGCACTGGCGACGTAATGCCATACGAACGGTATGATTACGGTATTAGAAATATAATACTTAAATAATAATAAATATAATAAACATATAATTGTGAGACAATATGTCAATTCAGACCTTTTAATGAGTTCAAGTATTGGCGACTTTCATGTAAATCGTTTCTCAACTTTAATTGATTTATACTATCAATATTTGAATGATTATTATTATTATTATTATTATGAGATGACTGTTCATTTTCACAGATATTGTCGACTTTAGTATCGTTTTCCTCATCACTAGACATAATATCGTCGTCATTATCATCACATCTATTCCTTGGTTCCCACGTCATCTTATTCTCTTTTTTCAGTCGGCGCCGGGCGTTTGCAAACCACGTCGATACCTGTGCTCAACACATACAATATATATATTATATATATATTACATTCTTTTAAAAACATTTATATAGCATTTGCAATGTTTGAAATCACATTTTTCTAATAAAAAAAAATTTCCAAATGATTTACAAACTCATATACTAAATAAAATTTAAATAAAATAAAAAAGTTGTATTTTAGTTAATAATAAAGTTATAAAATTTGTAAAACTGTTAATACAATTTTATAAATATTTTGTCAAAACACAAATTCAATTTAATTTGTTATTCAGATAATAACTTAAATTGTTTTTATATTATTTTGTATTGTATGTACACTAACATGACTTGAGATTACAGTATAATAAACTTTTAAAATCCGAACATATATTTTCTATACAAACAACAATAAAAAGTAATTTCAAAGTTAATGCTTTTTTCTAAATAAAAAAATATATTTGAGTTTTTACTGTATGTTACAATCGGACAATTTTTATAGTTTATTCTTCCCAACAAATAATTAGTTTTAAAGGAAATTTGAATCACTAAAAAATTAATTTACATAAAAGTCTATAAAAGTGTTACCAAAAAAGTTATTTAAGTAATCAGATAACAACTTTGTTTACATTTGTATTAAATATATAAAAATTAGAAATAAAATAAGACTCACTTGAGTTAAAGTCATTTTTGTAATGATAGCTAACATAATCTTTTCTCCTTTAGTTGGGTACGGATTTTTCCTGTGCTCACTAAGCCATGCCTTCAAAGTGGTAGTGGAATCTCGGGTAACATTCTTACGTCGGGCCACACCATCCATAGTGGGATATCTTTCCCCATATGGACTGTATATGGGGTCATAGAGGTAGCACGTGGTTTGAGGCAAAGGGCCCCAACCATTACCATTCATGTCTTTTAGATCGTATGGATTTCCCTGTTTTATGTTTACTTTATATAAATAAAATGTTTATGACTTTTACAGAAATACTTACAAATGAAGAATAGAAAGGATTGGTTCCTGAGGTATAAAAAGAGTTTTGTTCGGAATATGACGAGCCATAAATGCCTCCGAGTCGAGGATAACCTGATATTAAACGGGAATCATAGGGAGTGGTCAGAGCACAGACTGATGATGTCGACGGAGATATTGGTGTTGCTGTCAGACCAACGTTTGGCGACAAATGATTTTCTTCATTTGCATTTAAACTCATAGTTGGAGTATTATTTGCATTAGTTGTATGACTACGAGAATCAGTGCCCGCACTGGTAGCACAACACGGAGAGTCTGTAGTCGAGCTGTTTGTATTGGATGTCATTAATGAAAGCTATGATTTACAAACAAACAAAGTTGTGGTAAAAGACAATTTAGGCGACACTTAAATTAGTTCAAACAAATGAAAATCAAAGCAATCATTCAAAAGGTTTGATTGAATACTGAATCAGACATCTGGTGTTTCATTGCATTCAATGATTTTTATTACTATCGCTATTGGATTTCATAGCAGACTAACAGTCAGTCAGTCACTGGAATCAAGAAATCATTTGAACACAACTACCAGTCATTCATTTTCATAGATTTACTGCTTATTGTCTAAAACTGGTGGTTAGGCTCATCTAACAACTCCCTGAGCTATGACCGCCTATACTGAGAATGGGAATGACATCATTGTTTTACATTACTGTTCATGTCATTCATACTATTAAATCCAAACTAATTTAATATCTTTTTAAAGTACAATGTTTTAAAAAATTATATATAATATTACATAATACAATAAAATATAAATATCAAATACACTATATATATATATATATATACTGTATACAGGTACAGTATATATATATATATATTTGCTTAAACAAATTTTTTAAAATTAGTTTTTGTAAATGTTTTGAAAAATGGGTTATTTATAAACTTTTTATTTTGTTGTGTTCTAAAAATGTAAAACACACTTATACTGTAAACCCTATATCTTATTAAATGAAATAATATATTACATCTAAACTATAAATAATAAAATCATTATCAGTTGTCATACTTGTGTATATCATAAAAACTATATTAAATAAAAGATTGCATTTGTTATATTTAATTTTCACTTTTAAATAAATTCATTTTGTTATTTATCAAAATTAAAAAAAATATATTTATATATAAATCCATAAATTCCTTTATGTATATAAATATCATGATATAATTTATAAATGACAAGATAATAAGCCAACAAACTTTATAAACTTGTTTTTTATATAAAACATTTTGTAATAAATGCAATGATTAGTATAATTTTGATATAACTTTTTTATTATCATAATTATCATAAATCACTGTTTAATCACATTAAATGCATTTAAATAAACAAATATATTGTAATATATAAATATATAGTAATTTGTTTAATAAAACGGATTTATTACTAATTGATGTTTAAAAGCAATCCATTTTACCTGAGATGACAGTTGTTGTTGTGACTGACAATGATAGTCAACAAATCCAGTGTAAGGCATACTATACTACAGTATATGTTTTGTCTTATATGTTGATTAAATTATTGGACAAATATTTGTATGTCGTTTTGAGGATTATTAGTGAGATGAGAGACAAGTGATGTTTAATTCAATTATTATTAATAAAAGACTTCATGAGTGATGACATTAATAAAGTTGTCAAACGAGTCATATATTTGATAAAGACTAGTCATTCATAGCGTTTAATAGTTATATATAAGACGTTTTATTGAGATTATGTGATATATTGTGACACTAACTATCAAAACACTATCATTGATAACATATGTAATAATATTGATATTTTGTATTCGATAAACAATACAATAATTTATTATTACTATTAAAACTTATTATTACAATATAACAAAGTATTTTATTATAATAAATATAAAAGTATATAAATATAAACTTAATAAAATAAATTTTTCTTAACTTATAAATAACAAAAATAAAAAGTATATAAATTAATGATATGTCTTGAAAATAAATGTTTAGTTGACTACAGAATTTGATAACAAAATTTAATAAAAAAAAATATTAAAATTCTTTTAATATATATTTGACAAAATTGTGGTCATTTATTATCATCAAACACGTTATCTTACATAACATACCATATATGTGTCCAAAATTAAGGCATTACATTCACCACATTAATGATATCATCAAAAAATACAATATATAGTTGTTGTAAATGACTTGAATGTGAGGTTGAAAAGTTGCAAACATTGTTTAAAATAATAAATAACACAAAAATTATAGCTGATTAGTATCACTAATGTAAGCAAACAAATATCAATACAATATTAAATTTTATACGGTTGTTAAATGAGAGTAAACACAATTGACGATATAATACATTAATAAGAGGTGGGATTTATTTTTTATGTAATAGCTTTTACACAAATATTATTTTTTCAATGAGTGGTTCATTTGGTTGTATGAAATATCACATGAATTTGAAACTTTAAAATTAAATCCCATATTTATTTTGCAAATACAAAGCGTTATCTTTTTTCAAAACATTACTGAAAACCATGGCTTTGGTAGTGTTTACTGTTTGTAAGCCCCTGTCAGTGTTGGTCTGGTTAGCCCTCTGGGCGTATAACTGCATATTTTATGCACACATGATATCGATTTTTTACACAACCAAACACTGATTGATGACTGCCTGCACTCCGCCCTAACCCGCGACTTGAAAACGGCATACAATGGCACACATTGTTGACGAGGAAATTGCTTTCATTCACCACTTACTCACTCTTTAGTGTATTTCCTCTTTCTATCTCTTTCTTTGGATGACTGCCTGTCCCCTCACTTATCAATAATTGTAAACCAATTTTATATTTAATTATTTCAATGTTTATTTTCAATTACTTATTGTCACATTAATATTACAATTTCTTAAAAATTACTTAATTATCAAAGTATTTATAACATAAAACATAACATTAAAAACAATAGAAAATAACTATTATTTTTGATGATATTTTTCTCTCTATTTCTCTTTGAGACCATTGATCTCAAATACACCTAAAATTAGAAACACATTTATTTCAATTTTATGCCTTATCTGTCAGGTTTTACCTTTAAATACTAGTCTTATCAGTAAAAGTTCACATGTCTTATATACCCACAAATATAATGTAATGTTATTTATTAATTAACGATTTAATCAGTTATTATTTTTATTATAATCAGTTTAGTTTTATATGACATTTTAATGAATCAAACTATACTGGCTCTTAATTATTAATTTGATTTACTATATAGTAATATCTTATCAATTAAATAAATAGTAAATATTGTATAAAATCGTGTTTCGTTAAAATTAAACACATATCATAACAAACTATCAATGATTTTACAGTTTATAGCAATTTACGATAACATCTTATTTAACTAAACTTTTAAAAAAAATATTTTTTCGCACATTATTACTTAATTTAATTAAACATTATAATTTGTGATATTATTATAAAAGTAGCAAATATTTTTCTTTTAATTAAAATAAATAATTGAATATATATATATATGTTAAAACAGTATTTATAATTTTGTCATTATAATTATTTAAAGTTTTAAAAATAACTTGAAATTTAAATAATTTTTTATTGTATCAAATTTTCAGTGTTTGGCAAATATTGTGATAAAAGTTTTCATTAAAATTACAACCGTAACTAAGTTTCAATATAACTTAACTGGAGTCACATTATAATCTATAAATTTTTATTTTAATATTTTAAATTATATTAAATTATAAATTGTATTAAATTTAAGTAATTAACTTAACGATTCGTGTAAACAATAGGTTCTAATAAATGATCTACAATTAATTTATTTGTTTTTATTTAAAAATTGTGATAAATATCTAGAAATTTTCTATTTGTCCAACATTATAATTAATATTTTAACAATTAAAATTTATGTTTTAAATAAATGTTTATTTATGTTGAAATTAAATATAGTAAAATTTATAATTTTAATCAATAAACTCATCAACAATAAATTGACTCTTAATTTATTTACATTAATAGCAAAACATTAAGAGTGATTCCTATACTTAGAGTTCGGGCAACTTTCCAAGGCAGGAAAGTTCCCTAATAAAATCCCTCCAATTTTCGCTAAAAATAGGAAAAATATTTTATTTTCTCTACTTAGCCCATTAGAAAGAAAAATACGATATGTTTCATATTTTTACAATAAATAATAACAGAACATATTTTCTTGCATAAAATTTTATTAAAATATTTAAAAATAAATTTAGTGAAACTATTTAATAATAACACTCAAAACACAGTTTAATACAATATTTGTAATTCAAATCTTATAATAAAATTTGTGATTTAGTGTTAAATAGAAGGTAATACATGAAAATTGTTTCCCTATGAATTCCCAGGGAGCAGAAAAAATGGGAAACTTTATCATATAAAACGATGGATGGAATTTGTCCGAACCCTATTTATACTATAGTTTATTTTATTTGTTGTTTATTTAATTCATTACCGTAATATTATATAATTTTAACTATAGATTTATTTATACAATATTTTTTAATCACAAATACTGTATACAAAACATCATTTATTCATTCTAGACATTGGCTCTAAAAGTTACAAAATAAATTGTATTTTTTTGTAAATAAATTGATAATTTCAACTTTTATTTTGTTGTATAACTGATCAGTATTACTGATTATTCTGAAAGATGGATAAAATTGAAAATTAAAAATCAATAAAAAAATTCTTTTTATATTTATCAATTAATATATTAAAAATACAATTTGCTACAATATAATTGTAAAATAATGTACAAGTCTTTTAATTTATGAAATAA